GAGGCCACAACACCGATGCTTTCGATGTCGGCTCCTCCACTGGTGTCTACATCTCTGGCGCCAACGTCAAGAACCAGGACGACTGCCTGGCTATCAACTCTGGTACCAACATTACCTTCACCGGCGGTACCTGCTCTGGTGGCCACGGTCTCTCTATCGGCTCCGTTGGTGGCCGTTCCGACAACACCGTCAAGACCGTCACCATCTCCAACTCCAAGATTGTCAACTCCGACAACGGTGTCCGTATTAAGACGGTCTCCGGCGCGACCGGCTCCGTCTCTGGCGTCACTTACTCCGGCATTACCCTCTCCAACATCGCCAAGTACGGTATCGTCATTGAGCAGGACTACGAGAACGGTTCCCCCACCGGCACCCCCACCTCCGGCGTCCCCATCAGTGGCCTTACCCTCAGCAACGTCAAGGGCACCGTCGCCTCCTCCGGCACTGACGTCTACATCCTCTGCGCTTCTTGCAGCAGCTGGAAGTGGTCTGGCATCTCTGTCACCGGCGGCAAGTCCTCCACCAAGTGCAAGGGCATCCCCAGCGGCAGCGGCGCTGCTTGCTAAATGCCTCCTCCTCCGCCACACAAGAGTCGGATCTCGTTGATGCGGGATGCTCTGGCTGCGGGATGGGTCGGCGACTTTCGGGGCTAGCCTCCGGCAGTCGCTGCGGTATTCAGCCGGAACTTTTCTTGTAATTATTTGGGGCTTTGGTCCGGGCATCTAGGTTCGGCCAAGCTGCGCAAATTGTTCGTGTACATAATTCTTCTTTCTTCTGCCCATTGAGATGTCTTCGGGGCAGTACATAGTCAATCCAAATTTCCCTTTGGATGCAATCTCGGTCGTTCTCCTGCTTGATTCATTAGTGACTTGTTGTTTCGCTAAGAGACCCAGTGCACCCACATGGCTAAGACATGCCAGAGATAAACGACGCCCAAGCTCCACTCCAGCGACAAGGTATCTGCAGCGGTATCCCTGACCTCAAACAGGGGCCCTGGCACACAATTTCCCGAGGCGGAACCGGCACACAATCACGGAAAAGCGTTTTTTGTCGAGGACCGCAAAAATGCAGGAAGTAGCAAAAGAGAATCTCCTCGACGGGGAATTGAACCCCGGTCCCCGGCGAATCGTTTTAATGACAAGCCGATATCCTCACCACTAGACTATCGAGGATTTAGATCATGTGATCGTTGAAGAGCTCCGCCGAAGTGAGTCTCAAGAAGGGTGGGCACCAAACGCACAAGCGCTCGGAGACGATAACGCTGCTCGCTGCATAGTAACAAACTCCCACTACCATCACAAGACTTGCCGCAATAATTTGTCGCTCATGAAATAGCATGTTGTTGCACCTAAGATTGACCCCATCTCATGTTTTATCTCATGTTTTTTTTTAGCATTGCGTTTGGTCTTCTCCACCATTCGTGTGTGAATGGTGCAGAGAAGGCTCATCACACGTTGACTTCTGACATGCATGACACTGAACCCAATCAAGGTGGAATCAATCCAACGAGTTGTTGTGAGTATATACTAAGCAGAATTGACTATTTACAAGAAGGTAAAAATTCCATGCCCAAGCATCAAGACGGCAGCTTCATCGTCGATCAGTGGTGGTCGATTTGTCTAGCAAGTGAACACGGCAGGACCAGGAATGGTGTAAGTCTGGGCTGCAATGGAGTTAGATAGATGAAAACAGGACACAAGATCTGGATTGACATACCCTTGTAGGCGTCGTAGGTGATACCAGGGTCAGTGGCCTTGTATGCACCCGGGAATGCAACCAGTGAGGTAGGAGTCTTGGTTCCTGAGCCAGTAACCTGCAGTTGGTGGCATCCCGGGTAGAACTGGGCGCCGGGGTAAGAGTAAGCCGCGTGCAGGGCGATGATCTCATGGCGAACGAGGTAGTATCCGGGCTTCAGGCAGGACGGGATGGTGTATTGGTAGCCCGAGTTGGCAACCATGAGAGGAGTCTGTGTAACATCATCATCAGCCAATTTATTCAACATCGTCTGGGGTCTTTCTTGAAAAGTTTCAACTCACATCAGCCCATGTGTTGGACGTTCCATCGCGGCCGCCCTCCTTAACCTTGAACCACACAGCACTGGCGGAATCTCGTTAGTCTGCAGTTCTCAGGTTGCAACTCATGATTCTCTTACGAAGTGCCGGGCAGCCAGCTAGTGCAACCAGAGTCGGGGCATCGTGCCATGTAGGTGATGACGGGGCCGACATGAGACTCGGGCCAAAGAGTCCATTTCAGGTTGACAGACGAGCCGGCGGCGGCAGTGGCGTGAAGAGGCGCGGGCTTAGAGCCACTGACTCCGCCAGCAGTGTAGCCGTTGCATTGGATGTCGATCGAGGTCACGTCTTCAACAGGTCCGTTGCCTGGAATCGCGCGGGAGATTCTCTGAGGCTACACAGGTTGAGTCAGTTGCTGTCTCTTGATTTCCATGTGTTTGAGACTTACAGGAGTGGAGTAGTACGGGTCAGAGTACGGCTGGAGTCATGTGAGCTACGTTGTCAACAAGTCTGAATAGAAGTTCTGTCTACCTGATAGAACTGTGCGACTGTCAGTACACGCAAGTCATGAACAAAGACGTTGGCAGCAAGCAAACCTGATAGTATGTTCCCCCGATGGTCGCGTTGTCGACGTATCCGTGGCCGGCAACCAGGGCCGCACCGAGGCCGAGAATGCAGGCAGTGATCTTCATCTTGCTGAAGACTTCCCAAAATGTGACTATGCTGCGAGGATACGGTAGATCAGATCACCGAAGATCGCGGCTTATGGGGGAGGCGTCTGGAGTACCAACAACGGCTGAGCAAGTTAACAGAAAGAACCTGCTCAGACTCGGAGAACCAGATGATATTTATCACTAACATATATTCCTTTGCTTTCCAGAGGATCCATTGTTACAATTACTATCACACTCAACATCCTCAACCCCAGACGCCGAGATGGCAAACTACTTGCTTGGCACGGCTACGTTGCTCCCTTACCGCCCACGGTATCCCATCACGGGAACCACAATTTAAGCGTAAAAGGAAACATCGGAACCAGAAATGCGAATGCCACGGCTGCGATACTATCGAGGGCGGCTTATCCCGGTTTTCATTGGCAATTGCCCCTCGTTGAAACACAAGTCTAGCAGGGATTCCACCAATGAAAGGGACATGCCGGGTTCCATCGTGACTGTGACTGGATACGCCACAAGAAATTTAGATTAAAAGGATGCCAACGAGAATAAGAAAAATGCCACGCCAGAGCGGAGCGTGGCATGATTTGGAGGCCTTCCAGTGGGATGCCGCGTGCCGTGGTTCTGGACTCGCAAGGTTATGGGGGATCTGCAGTGTCACCATGCCTGCTGCAGTGAGGCAAGTGCCAGAAGTACCGAACGCGGGGTGCTTTAGGCTGGCATGAGCCATCTTGAAGGACGGGGAAGGTCGGAGAGGAGGTCAATTATGCATCGAGGATGTGGACTGTCATTTCAGGAGCGCCTCAATATTTCGGGAATTGAAGAAGGCTGGTCAAAGTTAAGTGCATGATATAAAACATATGCCCAGACTCGAAAATAAGGTATCGCGTCTCTTGGATGGGCAACATGCATCAAATGATATCCTTGTTGAATTAAAGGGCTCAGAGCGCTGCCATATAACATGTCATGCCGCAGGACCTGCCTCCGTCTCACAGCACATTCGTGGAATTCTGCAATAATTCGTATTGCAAGAGGTTACCAATTTTCGGCTAGTAACCCCCCACCTTACAGTCCGTTGCGTTGACAGCGTCCGCCCCCAAGTTTGACCCGGAAGGGAAATTTTCCGCTAGCCTAGAAACCCCTTAAAACCCCCTAAACTTCACACTTTAATAACTCTATGCGTATATAATACGTATAAATAAAAAATATATTAATTAATAGCCCCTAACTAAGTGATTATAATGATATCTTTTTTATTTACACGTATTATGTATGTATAGAGTTATTAAAGTGTGAAGTTTAGGGGGTTTTAAGGGGGTTTCTAGGTTAGTGGATATTTAATATAACGCTAAAAAGAAAAAACGAAACCCTTAGCGCGTTATGTTGAACTATCTGCTTAAAAAACCCCTTAAAATCAGCTTTAACTTCATATTTAAATAACTCTATGCGTATATAATGCGTGAGAATAAAAAAGATATTATTATAATCACCTAACTGAGGGCTATTAATTAATATATTTTTTATTTATGCGTATTATGTACGTATAGAGGTATTAGTGAACGAAGTTTAGGGTAATTTAGTGGTTTTTTAGTAAAAAGCCCCTTTTTTTGCCTTTTTCAGGCTAAAAACTGCGGGGTGGACGCTGTTAACGCAACGGACTGTAGGGAAAACCCAATCGGCTGGATGAAGGGCTGTCAGCACTTGAGATTGCCGCCAATCCTTTCACCGCATAGTTATTATGATTTAGTCATGTCTTTATTGTTCGAAGAAGACATTGAGGTCTATGTTGGGTCGCTTCTGCTGCGCCGCACAGATGCAAGTTTTAGCGCGTTCTTCGAGCGCGGTATGCTTGGACAGCGCAGACTAGAGCCTTGACTACTCTGGAGTTATTACGGCCGGAACCGCAAAGTTGAATGGAAGATATGCGTTCGCATGGCTGACTTCATCTACTGAACCTGGCCAAATACCAGTACATCTGCGGCCAGAGGAGATAACGTAGTATAAGCTTGTGGTAAGTCCGAGAACAGACTAATGGCAGCTCGAATTGCCTGGCGTCGCTGAGTTTTGGTCATGCACGCCGGACAAAGACGGACTTAACGAAGCGTCGATTACCAAGACACTTGCACAATATTTCATAGGCTTTTAAAACTCTGACAGAATGAAATCAACGGTTTTATATCGGAGTTAACGGAAACAGCTCTTTTGCATATATACCTGGTAGTCATGGAGGCTGACAACGTAAGAAAAGATTCATGCCAAGCAGCATACTTAAACTTCTCTCTGCATACAAAAACTCTTTACAAAAGTCCTCAACATGAAAGTCTGGTTTGTTACTGGAGCTTCTCGTGGTTTGGGCCGTTCTCTTGTCGAGGCCGTACTCGAAAATGGCGATGCAGTTATCGCAACGGCAAGAAGTCCGCAACAACTTAGTTATCTCGAGGAAACGTACGATAAGTCACGACTTCTGTTAGCAGCCTTGGATGTGACAAATTCAAGCAACGCTGTCCAGGTTGTCCAACAGGCTTACGACAAGTTCGGCCGAATCGACGTTGTGGTCAACAACGCTGGTTACGCCGATAGCGCCTCTATCGAAGATATGACCCTGGAATCATTCCGAGCGCAGATGGAGACTAACTTCTTTGGGGTTGTCAACGTCACAAAAGCGGTGCTACCGCTGTTACGAAAGCAAGGTTTCGGTCACATCCTTCAAGTATCTTCAGTAGGGGGGAGACTTGGGTCACCTGGGCTTGGGGCTTACCAAAGCGCCAAATGGGCCGTCGGAGGGTTCTCAACAGTATTGTCGAAGGAAGTCGCTCCACTCGGCATTAAAGTCACAGTGCTCGAGCCCGGTGGGATCAAGACGGATTGGGCGGGCTCTTCGATGGGTCATGGGCACGTCAGCGAGGCGTATGTGAAGACAGTTGGATTCATGAAAGAAGCAAGGGAACGAGCTTTCGACGACTGGTCTGAACCGTCAAGCATTGCCAAGGCTATCATGCAAATCGCTGCAGTTGGAGAGCCGCCGTTACGTTTGCTACTGGGGCCGGACACGATTCAACATGCTGCGGCAGCCTCCGAGGCACTGACAGCTTCAGATAGGAAGTGGGAACACATCATAAGACTGCAATTCTGAGTAGAGTTCTGGTACTTCACAATGTTTAATCGTGGAAATGGAACTTTTCTCTCTCAAATCATGTTTAAGTCCCGTCATTCGTACAAAGGCCGTCCGCCAACTTGTGCCGGTTCATGCCCTATCATTCACTTGAGTACAGATCTCCTAGCTAGCTAAAGCTCCATGCTTTCCAAGATCTTTCCATCACTTTCCTCCCATGGGTATGTTTGCTCCAGCGAACGGATCAACTTCTCGTGATGCGCAGACCTTGGCTTGATGGACGTGTCAAAGGGCTCAGGATGGCTCACGATTCCCGGCGTCATCTTGACCGTAGGGTCAACTTCCTTTCCATCAACAACAGGTTTTCTGATGTTAAAGACCGCAAGAGATTGAGCAACATTGATGAATAGTGCATTATCAGCGAGGATGCGTCCGGGGCAAATCCGCCGACCGAAGCCGAAGACAATTTTGTGGGGATCAAGTGAGGATTCCTGATCTTGGCCAGAAAGAAAGCGTTCGGGTCTGAACTCGTCTGGTTGATCCCACACTTCCGGATCATGAGTGAAGTGCCTGCATTTAAGTCAGTTTCACGCTTCACCCAACAGATCACTTGACATCAAAGCTTGATGGTGCACCTACCAAATGTTCGGCAGAAGTAGTGCGTCCTTCGGAATGAAGTATCCCTCGACTACATCGTCGTCAGAACTTGCATGTGGTAGACCCATAGGAGCAATGGGTTGCCAGCGAAGAAGTTCCTTCACAAGAGCGTCTGTGTAGGGAAGATTTGGTCGGTCAGAAGCAAGGGGAAGACGGCCTGTGCCGATGACTCTGTCAATCTCTTCCTGTGCCTTTTGTTGAGGTCCGGGGAAGAGAGTCATGGCCAGGAAGAAGCAATCAATCGAAGAGACGGTCTACTATCTGTTAGTACAACGATCGGACTCGTGTTTATCGAGGAGGTAAGATGGTGCATCGTACCGTGTCGGCTCCGCCGGTGTACAATGACGCTGCTGACCACTTCGTGACGAAATCCTCCTCAGGCGTTAGGCCACCATCTCTGATAAGATGTGAGACGAAAGACGATGTATCCTTTCCCTGAGCCATTTGGTGCTTGACAAAGGCGTAAGGCTTCTCTGCTACGCCTCTCAGCGTGGAATGCCACTCCTTCGCAGTTTGCTTGAATTTGGCCCCCGGAAACCAGTCGGGAATATGACGTACTTCTATGAATTAGAACTAGATATTTCAGACCTTGCATGGAACTTACAGAGAGGGAAGATGTCTACCAAGAAGGCTCCAGGAACAGCAGCTTGGGCAAACTGGTCCATGGCTTCTCCGGCCAAATCAATGAGGTAGTCGTCCTTGAATGGCTCCGGGTTATAACCGTACGCAACTCTTAAAATAACCGAGCCAGCCTCCCTGCAAATATTGAAGACACGTTAGGGACTTTTTCCAATGTTGATCTACTACTCGGCTCATTCACTTTGAAGCTTACCGTCTGATATGATCTCTGAGTTTCTCGGGATGGTCAAGAACGTGCAGCAAGAAATGACCGACTTCTGCTTCCTGGAGCGCATCGTATTGTGCCGCTGCCGTCTTTGAGCCGATGATGCGACTAATGTTCTTGCGGTAGTTGCGAAATCTGTCATTATGGTCCTGCATCGCGAGCGTATTCTTCCAGCCAATCCTGCGCGTTGTGTGAGCAACGGTAAGGAAGGACAGATGCTGCAACCAAGTAATGGAAGGAGACTGAAGACCAACATTTCGCCGGCAAAAATCTGCCTTGGTCTCGAAGAGTACTTCACGGATCGTTTCTCCAGCAACTCGAGGGCTAGCTGCAGGTCGTTGATAATAACCAAGGTTTGGCCTAGTACTGTAACAGAGCTGAGAGGACCTTGGATGGAATTTGAGTCAACGATTAATGTCAAATTGACGAATAACAACTTAATCTAGCGCAACCGAAGAAAGGAGAACTAACCATAGCGACCTTTGTGCTTAATCCAGTGATGAGCCTCGAAATCTCCAGGCTTCGGCAAGTCGTTTACATTTCCCACTATCGGGAGGCCCTTGGGTCCGGGCGGCAAAGGAGGCCGGCCTGCATTTTTGGATGCACTCAAAAGTTTGTTGATCACGTACACCGCTATCAAGGCCGCGCCGAGGCCAAGTTGAAGAAATAAAGTGCCCATCGCTATGAGTGACGACGAAAAGAGGAAACCCGATCGAAAATTCGGTATCTATGCCGTTCGCTGTGCCATTCTTTCTTAAATACCAGTGCTGGAGGAGCCCCCTGGTCGCCGAACCCCTGCCACGGGACCCCTCACTGCGGTCCCTGGCCTAACAATCCGACTGAACAAATCGCAATAGCCTATTTGTAATTCGTCCCACTGATCACCAATCGTGTAACCATCGCGCAATGCATTCAGCGTAGTATCACGACTTAAACTAGCAAGACTAGTTTTCTCTGCACAGGAGGATGCGGTTTAGCCCTAGCACTAACAAGGATCCGACGCTGCTGCATACTCAGAAGACTTGCATGCCCCATCTTCGTCAGGCAACTTTGATCGAAACAGCACCCAATCAGTCGACCCGGTTTCTTATCCAACCTTGGAAAGGTAAGCTGACTGCAGGACTTCTTCGCTAGTACGTGGATGATGCTCCATTCGCACTCGAGGTTGCACGAGGGAACACGAATTCGTCGAAGTTGATCTGACAGCTGTAGGAGTTGATTGACAGTGTAATCCCGACCTGCTTACGGGAGTTTAGATCCATAAGCGTCGCCATAACTACATCACAAATGGGCAATTCTGCCGGCACTCGATAATTTTAATGTTGACGCTATCGTGCGGCTTAGCTGTTAGAAGTGACCTGCTTATCTCTCTCGCCCTGGACCTCTGTAGTAATATGTCATCCCGGTAGCAAATCGAAAACGTTCTATCATTGGCATAACATATTTCCAAAGCGATCATATTAGTGCCTTTCCAACATATCACAATGTGGAGTAATGTAAAGTGAAGCATTCCTTAGGTATTTAGAGACTATTCCTAAATTACGTTCATGTCTATCATCTCATCAAGCAGTTTGAACTTCAAAGTGGTTGTGCTAGTGAATGAGGTTGTGTAGTATTCATCATCAGTCCGTACTGGGTAGGCGTTGATTTAATTTGACTGAGATGCTTCAGGCCGAAACGACGGATATGGCGCGAAGTATTGATACTTTCTGGCAAAGGCAACACTAAACTTCACAGCACCATGGTTCACAGCATAATAATCACAAGAGGATATAGTATACTGGTTTTCAGAGTTCAAGGCTGACAAGGAGTGATTTTCAAAAGTGTACTTTTATGTCAGTAGCCTATGTAGCGCCGTACATAATTGTATAACTAGATACATTGCTGATACCTCAGCATGAAGAAGAGAAAACCAATCAGGCAAATGCCCTATGACTGGTTCTTTACCATCAAGGATACACGTTTGCTGGTAGGGAAGATTCGTTGAGAGTTCCTTGGCCCAACACTGCCGGTAGACCTGATAACGCTTCACCTAGCCTAGACCTAAATGTCGTAGTTTAGACCTTCTGTTTTCTGAGTCAACGATCGTTTTTAGTATGAGATGTGCTCTGGATTTGACTCACCTCGCAGACACCCCACTTGCCCAAGCCGGAGCATCCGCAGGAGGTGCTGTCCTGGCAAGGAGCGGCGTTCCAAGTACCCTTGGTGTCGCCGTTGCAAACGCACCAGGAGCCTGCGACCACGGAGTTGCAGCCGCAAGACTGAGTAGCTGCGCAGGAGCAGAGAACATTGACGGGAGCTCTCTCGTCGAGGTCGGCCACAGGCGAGGCCATGGCCATGGTGGCGAGGGTGGCGACGATGACAGCAGTGAAACGCATTTTGGTTGTGGAATAGTTGTTGATGGAGTAATTTGACTTGATGCAGGCAAATGAAGCTTGCAGACAATGAATGATGAAGTAGTTGAGAGTGTGGTTTGTCGATGAGTGAGAACCAGATGAGCAAGTCCGTTCCCGTGTCTACTTATAATTTCTCAGATGTAGCTATCAGCCAAGCATCTACCTAACCCAGCCAGCCAAAGGAACTACCACTGCCGCCATTCCAAACTGCATCTCCATAGAATTTGGACTTTTGATATCATTCGTTAACAAAAGTACCAAGCATACGGTGAGTAGAACGAGCGCTCGCGATTCGATTTGCAAAGGATGCAAATGCCAGAAAGGCCAAAAATTGTTGCCTGAACAGACAGCGAAGTATCGTGGAACTCTAGATGCTGCTTGTCCACCTTATTTGGATCTTTGGTTAGGAATTCTGGACCTAGTCCCGTCGGTGGAGTTGACTACTGTTAAGAGAACCAAGAAAGTAGTGGCCGGCAGTCCCTTGAACGTGGTCCACTTGACGAACGTCATGCCACATTCTACAGTCGGCTGATTCTGCGGTCTCTCGGAATGTTTCATTTTGTGACTTCAGATGAACGATGAGAGCAATGTGATGCTGCCGCGCGTACTGCACAGCGGTGTCTGGATTTTGGTCCTTACGGCTGACAGAGTGTATGTCATAAAGGTGGAATATAAGTGCCGATCATCATCGGCGCCCTTGCCTTCCAGGGGATACCACCTCGGTTGAGACAGGCAGAAGAATTCTGTCAATTGATTCGCACCGTCCTCACATTACGTCTCGTAGGTAGTCTCGGGATTAATCCCAAACGCACAAGAAGCATCATTATACTGCTGGAGAACTCAGAAAGTCACATCAAGCTTGAATTTTCTGGAAAGCTTCAAAGAAAGTCCGATGTGGTACGTATTTAGAAACCAAAGATGAGCTCTTAATGTTGTCGAATACTTGATAAACCACGTGCTAGTTCGTCGGTGTCCATTGGTCACTCCTTGACATCATTGCCTGATTTAACCTTGACTATTCCCGGCAAAAACAACCGCTTTAACAGGGCACTTTAGAGTCCAGGCCACCACGCCTGTGCGTTGGGGACTTTAGGACAAATTATTGCGTGATTAGTTGAAAGTGTGACAACATCCATAAACTTAGTAAGGTATGTCGTTGTCTGGGGGGCCCTAGAATATAAGATCAGCGGACATCATCTGGTAACTTTCATCAAATACTAAAGCCTGCTCGTTTGATTCGCCAAAGTGTTGCAATCTTTCAATAACTATATCTTGTGTTGCCATCTCCTTGGTGGCGAACTGTTAGTGTCAGCATACTTAGAGCCAATTAACTTGTCCTCTTGACAATCGAGAACCCAAGGCACTTGCTTACCTAAAGAAATAAGAGCAACTCTCCGGGAAAGGCTTGTACGAATCACGTGGCAACAGCCATGAGCAAATCTTCGGAATTTCCGCAGGAGGGCAGCTAGAGCTTCAAAGTCAGAAGTTGATATAATTGATCAATATCGGATTAAGACATTGTCTCGCAATCCAGCAGTTATTTGATCAAGCTGTAAGACGTGATATGAATCGCGTCGCTTAATCAAATTGGGCCTTTAACAGTTCGATAAATGAAGACAGTGCAGTGACTGCGTCAAAATCCGTCTTCACAGACTATTTTAGAGTTCTCGTGAAATGATGAAGGTGAGCAGATTGGCATATACCGTAACGTGAAACGAAAAAGAGACATTTAGACAAGCCTGGGTCGATGACTTTCTGATGTCGTGTCTTGTCGTACCTCGCTTACCTTTTCTCTTTTGTCTGTCATGTTACTAACGTGGCCAAGGAATTGCCGAATTGGTGATCTTGGCTGTCACCCAAAAGCAAGTCCACAGGCCAAGACAAGTCTTTTTAATCTGTTTTAGGCACAGGACTGACAGAATGTGACGCAGATAAATAGCTCGACAATAGATCAACACACCGCATGTGTTCTTTTTGCAAGTCCATGGCCCTGAGACTGCATGGATACTTTTAAACTGTCGAACACCACAAATAACACATAATTGCGACTCTGATCTGTTTCATATCGCGCGGGTGCTGTACAATCACTCAAAACGTATGTCGGCGACCTGATAACCCAAATAAGCACATAAACCTCGCTACTCGTAGAATCAAGGCAGATGAGGGCATCCGACAAGCTGGATCGTTGCCAAATGTGACATCTTGGCACATAACCCGGCCTGGCCTGCATCCATTGCATACTGCCGTTCGTCAGCTACCAGTCCTCCCTGCATCATTCTGGAAGTCGGCAGCCAAGACTAAATGCGGCTGCTACAAAAATGGACGTCGTAAGAAGAACGGTTGGAAGTCCCAATGGAAATATCACTTCACGAGGCACCCCAGCACGGCAGACGAGCCAGATGGGCAGGTCCTTTGCAAATTGATGCTACGCCGCACAGCTGTTGGTCCAAACACATCGCCCCGCGATATGAAATGTCTTGGCACCTGCCCTTTGAGGTTACATCGTGGCGTGCGAATATTTGAGCCAAGATGTTGCGAGCCGCGCTTTCGCCGCGACCACACAAACAAATCCGCAGCCAAAGTGCGGTCTGTTCCTGTCTTTTCCCCTCACGTATCCTCGACTTGATGTGGAAACTGGCCCCGTCGGTGCATGAGGTGACCTTGCGGCAGGACTTCTGGGCATATGCTTATCAGTGATTGAGTGCTCTGATTCGCGATGTCTTACGGTTCCCCGCTCTCAACCCATGCTCGCGGTCAGGGGTTTTGTGAACTTATGCTGCATGCCAAGCTTAACCTGAGCTCGAGCTTGGGATGAGCTTCCGCTGTTCGCCGCGCGGCGTCGCATTCAGAGTGAGAAAGCATGGCACTTTTGAGATGACAAAAGAAACACAGTATGCGGGATGGGCTCGGCGGGCGATCAGTATAAGAAGGAACCAGTTCTCCAGATATCGCGTGGTGTTTTTGAGAGCGCAACCGGCCCAGCTCTTCTCGCGGTCTCTCCTCCGGTTTCGCTGAGCTCGCCAAGTCGTCCGTCACGATGAAGACTGCTTATCTCTCTGCCGCCGCTCTGGTGCTGGCTTCCAGCTGCCTGGCCACCGATCCTCTTACGGCCGACAAGGTCGAGGCCGACGTCAAGACCGAGGAGTGAGTATTTCCACATACTGCTAGAAGTCAAAGCTCAATTGGCTGACAACGCGACGCATGTTAGACTTGAGCGCGTCCTCTGGAACTTGAACAAGATCGGTCGCGACAATGGTGGCACCCGCGCTTTCGGCACCCCGGGTTACAAGGCCTCAGTTGACTTTGTCCTGGAGCGAGCTCAAACCCGCTTCGCCAAGGAGATGGACACCTGGCTGCAGCCCTTCAACCACACCTTCGAGCAGACCAACGCCATTTCAGTGACCGGCCCCGACGGTGCGGACGTCATCGTCATTAGCGCCGAGTACAACACCGCGACCCCTCTTCCAGACGGCATCACTGCCCCTCTCATCGACACCCCAGTCGACGATGAGAACGGATCAGGATGTCTCCCCGAGGCGTTCGAGGGCATTGACGCCACCGGCAAGCTTGCTCTCATCAAGCGTGGCGTGTGTGCTATTTCCGACAAGATCAAGAACGCAAAGGCGGCGGGCGCTCTGGGCGTGATCTTGTACAACAACGTCCCTGGCGACGACATCGTTAAACCAACTCTCGGTGCTGAGAACATTGGTCTCCTCGTCCCACTCGGAATTATCACTGAAGAGACTGGTGAGGCTTGGTCGGCCTCACTTGCTGCTGGAGAGGAGGTCGTCGTTACCCTCCTTGTCGACTCCATCTTCGAGGAGCGTGAGACCTGGAACGTCATTTCTGAGACTAAGGAGGGCGACCCGAACAGCGTAATCATGCTCGGCGCCCATTTAGACAGTGTTCTCGAGGGCCCTGGTATCAATGATGATGGAAGCGGCACTGCTGCCCTGCTTCAGCTGATGGGATCCGTCAAGAAATACACCGGTTTCCCTAACAAGATCCGTTTTGCTTGGTGGGCCGCTGAAGAGGCTGGCTTAGTCGGCTCCTACTACTACACTGAGAACCTCAGCTCGGAGGATGCGGACAAGATCAAGTACTATTTCAACTATGATATGATCGCTTCTCCGAACCCGATCTACGAGCTATCCAGCTACAACAACAGCGGCATCGGCCCCCAGCTTCTGGCAGACTACCTGGAGGCCAATGGCAAGACTGTGACGTGGTCTGAGTTCGACGACCGTTCGGACTACGCGGGCTTCATTAATCCCCTAGGAATTCCAACGGCCTCCATTTTTACGGGAGAGGGCGAGAACGATCCTTGCTACCATCTGGCTTGCGATACTCTGGACAATATCAACTGGGACGCTATCACCGTGAACACAAAGGCGGCCGGGCGCGCGATGGCCACCCTCGCCCTGTCTCTTGAGGGTGTCCCGCCTCGTGCTAGTACTACGCCTGTCCTTCGCGGACGCGCTGGTGTTCTTCAGCAGTTCCGCCGCTGGAAATTGATGGCTGAGAAATCCAGCCATGGCAAGATGTGCTCTCACCATGACGAGAAGAAGGTGTACTAAGGAGAATGAGCTTCGGCGTTGCTGATGACATCAATTGAGGACGATGGTGTACAATAGTCAAAATGAGCGGAGAGCTTGATGAGTAATGAAGAAGATGTGTTGATGATCTGATGGCCCAACTTGATCCGATGCCTCCCCCACCCGCGAGAATATCCCAGAATGCATCGACTAGCTGCAGGCTACAGCTAATGACAGTGAAAGAAATCGCCATCAAGTGCTCAGGATGACTTGAATCCTGAATTCTTGGTGAATTCTCGGCGTACCTATTGGACGATTTTGATTGGTACTTTCAGCGACCGCTGCGCCGGGTCAGCAGCTTCCGGACCGCGTGATCGAGGAACGGGGCGGCAGCAACCCGAATACGACGGAAGAGTGGGGCCGATACCGAGGAACCGCTTCCGCCGGGCACCGCGAGCCACTCAGCTGTCGGTTAGCGACCCAGCAACGGGAAATTGGCAGGATGCACGGGCCAATCCCGCAAAATCTTCCTGTCTGCCCCAACGGATTAAGGGGTCAACCCGGACCCGTGAGGTAGCTCTGTCGCGTTCTCAACCGATCGCGCCGAGTTGATATATGGTCGTTTCGACAAGCACTTGATTTGAAAATTGTCAAAGTCGTTCTTTCGTCTCAATCGACGAGACTTCAGACCGAACATGGCTGTCAAGAAGCACAAGTACGAGTTTGGAGGCCCGTAAGTCGCGTCAACCCATACGACGCGTTCTCACCGCTAACGTCATTCTTCCTTTTTAGTCCGGGAGCCTTCGGCATTGTCTTCGGACTCCCCGTTCTCCTGTGGACATTCTTCTTTGTCTGCAATGACAAGTCTGGATGTCCTGCTCCTTCGACCCTCAGCCCTCGCACGCTGAGCTTGGAGAAGTTGAAGGCTGAAATTCCCTGGCCTGCCGATGGTATCTGGGGATTCTGCAGCTGGGAAGTCTTCGGTTGGACCTTGGCCTACTACTTCCTGAGCTTGGTCCTTCACGTTGTTCTTCCCGCTCAGGAGGTTCTTGGAACCAAGCTGAGAGAGTCCGGTCGCCCTCTGAAGTACCGCTTCAATGGTAAGGCTTCCTTCCATGCTCCGTGTGAGACGGTCAAATACTAACTTTGCATACAGCTTTCAGCGCCACTGTCTTGCAGCTGGCAGCTCTTGCTGTCGGAACTTACCTGAAGGGTGCTGACTTCGTTGTCTGGACTTACATCTCGGACAACTACCTTCAACTCCTTACTGCCAACATCATCATTGGCTACCTGCTCTCTGTGTACTGCTACGTCTGCAGCTTCAGCGTCAAGCCCGGCAACGCCGAAAACCGTGAGCTCGCCGTCGGCGGCAACACCGGCAGCCTCATCTACGACTTCTACATCGGTCGTGAGCTGAACCCACGTGTCACCCTGCCCCTGTTCGGCGAGATCGACATCAAGACCTGGTTCGAGTTCCGCCCTGGTCTGACCGGCTGGATCATCCTCAACCTCGCCTTCTGCGCCAAGCAGTACCGCAACTACGGATACCTGTCCGACAGCATCATCTTCACGACCGCCGTGCAGGCTTACTACGTTCTCGAGGGCCAGTACTACGAGGCCGGCGTCCTTACCATGATGGACATTATCACCGATGGTATGGGCTTCATGTTGTCTTTCGGTGACATTGCCTGGGTTCCCTTCCTTTACTCTACCCAGACCCGCTACCTTTCCATCTACCCTGTTCACCTGGGCTGGACTGGCATCGCGTCCGTCTTTGCCGTGTTCGCCACTGGCTTGTACATCTTCCGCTCTTCCAACACCCAGAAGAAGCTCTTCCGCACGCAGCCTGACCACCCCAGCGTCAAGGGTATGCCCTTCATCCAGACCAAGCGTGGCACAAAACTGCTCACTGGAGGTTGGTGGGGAATGTCGCGTCATGTCAACTACTTTGGTGACTGGCTTCAAGCCTCGCCGTTCAGCGCGCCCACGGCCATCGCGGGATACATCATTCTACCTGCTGGAAGTGCTGTTTCTGGCGCGATCACCATGTTTGACGGCCGCGAGGTGGTTCAGGGTGCAGCTCGTGGATGGGGTATGATCTTCACTTACTTCTATGTGTTGTATTTTGCTATTCTTCTCATTCATCGCGAAGGACGCGATGACGTGGCTTGCTCTGAAAAGTACGGAGAGGACTGGGAGAAGTATAAGAAGACAGTGAAGTGGAGGATCCTTCCTGGTATTTACTGAAAGGACAAAGAGAGACTCGCGGCGAGTGAAAACATAAAGCCTCCTTACGCAGCACTCCTCGCTTTCCAACGCAACATTAGCCCCGCAAGTTCTTAAACGAGCATCTCTGGAGCTTAGAAGTGGTGCCCATTAATAACTCAAAATCGGCATGCTCTTTCATCCAGTACATTTTGCGTACCTAAGTACATTACCACCAACATGCCAGTGACAACCCACCTACTTGGCTACACCTTATGCAATGCAGTGGACAAGAAATTACGCCCACCAGTTTGCGTGTACAGGAGGTCAAAAGTCAGCCACTATCTAAAATGTAGATTGGTCAAAAGCAACATGAAGTTATATCTCTGCGCCATACTCAAGCAAGATGGCTCCAATCGATGCCTGAATGGTCTCCGCTTCTCCGTTGGCATATTCCTCGTTTGATAATGACCAATCCCGTAAGTTGCGGAACATTCCTTCAGGATCAGGAATCAGTTTAGAAATTTGTGAAGGTCGCCACCCGTTGAGACAATTGAAGTCGAACAGGAGTGTATCATCTGGCCATGCAGAAGCAGCAGCGCACCCCTCAGCATTCGGATTTGCCCCTGCTTGCAGCAAGGCCAGGACGCCCTCTTCATCGAAAGTTGCCACAGCGATTTGCAATGGGGTAATGTAGCATCCACTGGCGTCAGGATTTGCCCCGAGACTTAAGAGCTTCTTTAACACACACCAATCGCCACAATAGCGGTTGTGTTGGTGCAAAGGGCCGAAAGGAATAAGAGCGCCCTGTGGGTCAAAATTCCCGGCACCAGCCTCGATCAGTAACTTGAACACCTTGATGTTGCCAGACCAGTAGCTATACATGGTCGTGGCAGGGAACAAGGCCGCAAAACAGTCGGTTAGAGATCCTTGATAATGCCATTCCGATTCCAACACAACTCCTCGGATGTGGGAGGAGTAGTATCTGAAGTCAAGATAGACCTGAAAAGTTTTCCGGGGCTCCATTCTTTCTAGCAATACTCTGGCTACATGCACACATCCAAAAATAAGGAGCCTTACGAGAATCTGGACTTCCAGGTCTGGTATCGTCTCCCATTCGATGTTTCGGAGCATGTCAGAGTTATGGTACTTCGTTGTCGTTATGGTATGTTTCACCAAGGTTTCCGCCCTGTGGCTCCAGATATAGAAAAGCGGGAAGTAAAAATGTTTCTCTGCATCGAGCACATTAAGTGCTCGATAGAGAAGAACGCTGTGCTTCGATAAAAGGGCATCGAAGCAAATGATTATGTCGATAGAGGTGAAAGCGCAATAGCTTCCAAAGCTGGGAAGAGTACTGATGACTTGATAACCATATTCAGACCGCGTCACAGCCTGATACTCTTCGAATTCATCATCGCTAACGCACATAGCTCTTGAAAATATCCGTTCGGCTTTCTCGAGGACCAGGTCATCTTTTTCCAACGTGAAGAATGGATCGGGGTTGTGTCTTTTGCTGGAGGCCAAGTACTCCAAAACAGTGTAGTGCGCGAATGACACATTGAACCTCTGACGTGATGTCGGCCTGAGTGTGATAAGACATCCGCAAATCTCACGGAGACTTTCTGCGTCGTAGAACAGTTCTTCCCCTTCGGGGTTGTCTTCACAGATGTCTTCGTCGACGGCCTGAACAAGCATTTGCATGTCAACACACGCTGCTGCGCCAGAGTGCAGCTTAAACTCAAAGCATAGCCACTTCATGGCGGAGTTGACATAAGGAAAGTCTTCCTCTTCGATCTGCTCGAATATTCTGTCGTAAGCCTCATCTAGAGTCTTAGGCAGCCTAGATAAAGCTTTTCTGACGGCTTCTCTATTCCTGATACGCCGTAGCGCATCAATCTGGCAAACAACCCACCGAAACCTTTTGTATATTAGCGTCCAAATCAATATCACAGGTTGTGAAAGTATTTCACTTACATTCCCTGCGCTCCATTCGACAAAGCATCAATAGTCTCTTGTTGAAGCTCTGCTGACCAGCTTTTGACGCGTTTCTCTGCCATAAGACGTGATTCTGTGTATAGACGGATGTCGGCATCCAGGAACTTATTCTTCATGGATATTGGCGTAGAAAACTCGGCCATCACGACCTCAATATCGAAGTACTCTCGACTCGTGAGTAGCAGTCGAATCTTATTGAATCTGACGTCGGTTGCTAACTTCTGCATGACTTTGAGCAAGTCTTCGCGAGGGTTGCTTTCGTCAATAGCATCGACTGTGATGTATACTTCGTCAAAGTGCTCAAGCGCCCGCTCGATGGCAACAAGAAGATCTTTTAGAGACGGCGCCCCTCCATCCCTGAAAAGCTTCCAAAGATGGTCTGAGATCTCGTTCGACGTGCGACAAAGGCGACTCAGAATCCACTTCAACAGAGAAGCAGATTCATCCTGATTATGAGCAAAGTAACAATAATACCAAATGCTCAGAAGTCTTTCAGAACCTGACACTTTGCAATGTTGCTCAATCTTGTCAATCAGCTGGGATGCGAGAACTGTTTTTCCGGAACCTGGGATGCCGTGGATCCAGAGGCAGTGCTGTTTGCCACTCAGAAATTCAGGCCATTCGGGAAGGCGTGTTGCCCAGTCACATGTACCGGGTTCATGATTGTCTTGTGCTCGGTGATGTAGGGAAGAGGGATCACTCTCTTCGAGCCATTTGAACAGTTCACGTCGTTTAGACTCCCACACAGCCTCTTGAATCTGGCTTGTTCTCTGACCCATGTCACGCATACGGTGCCTCCAGTCGCAGGTTAGTCGAGTTTAACTTTTTGCGTTTGTTTGTTCGCACACTTACGCAGTGTTGGCGGTCAAGGCCAACATTATGGTGTCCTTGTATGTTGCGACATCTTGCAGCAGCTTCCTGGCTTTACTCTCTTTCAACGGCCATGCTAGAGTTGCAATCGTGACAAGTGCGTGGCCTTTTAGCTTTTTAGACCTGCTGAGACCCTGCGTCGAAGTAGTATCTGTACGGAACAGACCTTCGAGGCTTTTCATAGCCCTATGACAACCGTCGACGGGGCCGGACGGACCATTCAAGCTGTCGAAGATTTTCGATTGCCCGTTGTCACATTCAATGATGAACTTCACGTTCTCTAAGATAGCCTTGACCGATGAGGTTTCTATGAGAATAGTCCGCAGATCGCTTGGTGCGTCTTGAATGCTTTCTATGTAGCGTTTACATAGGGAGATGACTCGGTCTGCGATCTGGACAGTGGCAAAAATGCTTGCCACAAGGCCGATGACTTCCGCCATTGAGACTTGTCATGAAAAAATAAACTGTGGCGAGCGTGCTTGAAAGAGGCTCAAGGGATACGAAGACATTAAACGAGGGATTTTGTTGGATTGGAGGTGTGCAAACCTGACGGTCATTCTGCCCCCGCGTCTGCCTGATGCAGACACAGCCTGATCCGACTGCGCCGCAGGCAGATGTATCTAATGAGCCAATCGTCTTGCTGTTGCACGCACCAAGTTCATATCTACACGCAGAATTGTTGACCAATGACTACAAAGTAAGACTACCATTCTTCTCATCACATGATTGAAAGGCATGTCCAGATAGACGCTCAAAAGTGATGTTGAAATTCGTAGAAGCTTCATAAAACACACCGCTTACAAGTTGCTGGAAATTCTAGTGACAATCTTCATGAGCTCATCCTCCGCGGGTATCGTGCCCATCTTCTCCACACTCCTCTCATTCTGGAAGCCCTCATCGGGGCTGGCCCAGCTGTAACCCTTCCACTCACCCAGCGCAGGCCACATCTTCTGCTCCACCAACGCCTTCAACTTCTCATACTTTTCTGCCGAGCCAGTCTCGGTGCTGGCTCCCATTCCCTCGAGCACCTTCTTCCAGGCGTCGACTGTTTGCTCGAGCTCAGAAACGTTGGTCACACCCATGACACTGCCACCCACGCGCAGATCCCCCTGGCCAGGGAGCTGGACGCCAAGACCAGCCAAGGCGCCAACGCGGGCGTACTCCTCCATCGACCAATGAAGAGCGATCGTCTCCAACCGCTCCCCGGCCTCATTGGCAAACGTCGAGAGCTTTTTGCAGGCTGTGCGCAAATCGTCGGGGGCGGGGTGCCATTTCGCAATGACACCGGCCTTGCCCTCTGATTGCTCTGAGTTGGTGGGGATGCCGGTGTGCGTGAGCAGACCCATGCCGAGCATGCTTGCGTTGAGAACGGCTTGCACGCCGGCGTTGCGGAATCTTCTCAGAGGACTCTGGTCGTTGGTGTGGTCGGCGCCGGTGACGACTTCATCGTAACCAAGAGTGGGGTTTTGGATAGTGAAGTGGCCGTAGCTGAGGATTGCATCCAGAGGCTCGCCGGTCTCAGCGAGGATCATCTCAGCCAGACTGCAGAGGACGTGGACGGGGAAACCGCTGATTCCGACGAAACGGATCTTGCCCTCATCACGGAGCTGTCTTAATGTCTGAACAGCGGCGAGGACTTCTGAAGGGGAAACGAACTCGACATCGTGCATGTACACGAGGTCGAGGTAGCTGGTGTTCAGGCGGTTGAGAGAGCGGAGGACTGAGTAGCGCACGTATGCGGGCGAGTAATCGAACTCGTTGCCCGCGATGCGGCCGGCCTTGGTGACGAGGACATATGATTCTCTGGGGATGTTGGTGGCTGCGGTGTGAGCGGCCAGCGCGTCACCCAGCAGGACTTCTGAAGGGCCGTAGTATGGTGATGTGTCGAAGCCATTCACACCAAGCTCCAATGCCCTTGAGACGATTTGTCTGTAGGGCATCTGAAGAGGGTCCTTGACATGTTGTGTGTTGAAGGTCGCGGTACCCAAGAAGAGAGGAGGAAGAACAGAGGCAACGCTAGGCCTAGTAGCCGGGTTGAGGCTTGTAGTGGTGGTGGCCATGATTTGATGTGGATGATAGTGAATGAGACGAGAAACGGAGAGAGATGGTTCGATGATAGAGGTGAGATGGCACGGAGAGGTTGGATGGGGTCTTGCTCTGGCGGCGTCTAGACTTAAGTCGGACGGCGAAAGAGGTCGAGGTGTTTGCGGGTTGATATGAGAGGGTCACGACAGGGTCGGTGAGCGAGTCTGGTCTAGAAAGATTGACTGGGTCTTCCAAGCTCCTGAGCTAGGAACAATGTGTTATTAACCATAATCGCTGTGTGGGCTTCTTATTTGGGCCTGCCGGCGCGCCGGTAGTTCTAGCGTACCCAGAACCCGCCCGCCCGGTTTGCCCAGGCCAAGCCGCGTACGAAGTATGCGTTTTGCCCGGTTCAAACTTGGGACTCTCGTCAATTCTTACGAAGCCGGTGGCGGTGGGGTTCATGCAGAGCTTTGGAGCCAAGAATCGTCGACTTTCGTCGCCAGATTGCACGTGTCAGCTCGTCTCAACCTGCCACAAAAACCGATAAACATGGGTGTCATGGACCCCTAACGAGAGAAAAAGAAAAAAACGTGACCCTTGCTCTGTGCGGCCTTTCAATCTGCCTCCTACCGGCCCTCGCCGGCCGGCATAAGTGGCGGTCGGGGAACATGATATATCCATGTTCATCTGAGACGAGCCACCTCAAGCCACGGCCCTTGACTCGTCATCCACACCGGATCCGATCCCTGCGAATCGAACCAGAATCCATTCCTTCCCCATAACGGACGCTAAACTAGGATTGTAATATAACCCGTCGTTAGCCTCAATTTCGAACAACGCACCAGTTTTTTCCCTCACATCCTTCACCGACAAGGAGCCATACAAACAGCCTCCATCTTTGGTTTTGAGGAGCTGTTTCTTCTCCAATTGTCGTGATCTTCCTCTCTTGTCTTGCATCTTTAATCATTTGTCAAGCAAGATGGCTGCAATTGCGTCTCTCGAGCCGCACATCCAGGGCATCATCGAGGATGCGGCCGCCGACGGCGTGCCCTTCCGGGCCCGCGCAGCCCACTTTCATACGACATGGGCGCGGACCTTCGCCTCGCTGCCCGAGCTGTACATCCAGCCGCAGTCGCAACAGGAAGTCGAGAAGGCGATCAAGCTTGCTCGCAAGTGCAGGCGGCGCATCACCACAGTCGGCTGCGGCCACTCGCCGTCAGACCTGACGTGCACGAGTAACTGGCTGGTGAACCTGGATGACTTCAGGAAGGTGTTGTCTGTCGACAGTAAGCATATCTGTCTCGCAGTCCATTCCGGCTCCGGCGCTAATCTGGAACAGAGGAGACGGGATTGGTCGTCATGCAGGCCGGAATCCGGCTTTGGCAATTGACCGAGGAGCTGAACAAGCACGGTCTGTCATTCCCTGTCTTGGGAAGCGTGAACGAGCAGAGCATCGCTGGTGTTATCAGCACCGGCACCCGTGGCAGCACCCTGAAATACGGACTGCTGTCGGAGGCCATCTCCTCCCTGAAGATCACCCTGGCCAGCGGCGAGACGGTAACGTGCTCGCCGGATGAGAACCCGGATCTGTTCCGCGGCGCCCTCCTGTCCCTCGGGGCTCTGGGTATCATCACAGAGGTCAGCTTCCGAGCTGTCCCTGCTTTCAGTCTGAGGTGGAACCAGACCATCCAGGCTGATACCACCATGTTGGATGCTTGGAAGCAAAACAACAAATTGTGGACTTCGTCGGACTTTGTGCGGGTGTGGTGGCTGCCTTATACCAGGAGGGCGGTCGTATGGAAGGCCGACATCGTCACCAAGGAGGACCTCGAGTCCGGCAGAGAGAAGAACCGCGACCCTCCCGTCGGTTACTACGATGGAGCGCTCGGTTATCACATCTACCACAATCTCCTCTACCTGTCGCGTTACATCCCCAAGATTACTCCATGGATCGAGTGGTAAGTCCAACACACACCCCCATGGCCCAATGACTAGTGAGTACGCGGATGCTGACGGCTTTCCAAGGTTTGTCTTTGGCATGCAATATGGCTTCAAGAACGGTTACACCACCGGAGCTGTCCAGCCCATGGACAAAGCTCTGTGGATGAACTGCCTGTACAGCCAGTACGTGAACGAGTGGGCCATCCCGCTCCACAGAGGCCCGGAGGCCCTCATGCGTCTCGGATCCTGGATCAACAGGCTGCAGCCGGGTGACCCCTACTACGTCGACCACGGCATCCCGTACTCCGCGGAGGGTCTCTACATCCACTCTCCCGTCGAGGTCCGCGTGTGCGACGCCACCGTGCACACCAGTGCCGAGCAGCGCAACCGCCCGTGGCTCGACAGCACCATCAAGGACGGCCCGACGCTCAACCTCAATGCCACCATGTACCGTCCCTACGACCTGGATCCTCCCGGCTTGAAGCGCTGGTTCCAGGGTTTCGAATGGCTCATGCGCGACCTCGGTGGCAAGCCTCACTGGGCCAAGAACTTCACCGTCAAGAACACGGAGCTCGAAGAGTGGTACGGAGACGACCTGGTCCAGTGGCGACGGGTCCGTGACGAGGCCGACCCCGATGGTTTGTTTGTTGGGCCGTGGCACCGTCAACACGTCCTCGCACCCAACTCTGCTCCCTTGGAATTCGAGGAGGTCGAGAGGACGAGGCATGATGCCGGCAAGGGCGTCACGGTGTACGGTCTCCGCCCACAAGCCGAGAAGGAGAAGCTCTAAGCTACCTTAGGGATGTGAACATCCATGATAATGCTGTACCTTCCGCATCTGGTGCGGTGCGCCATTTGAGCGCAAGGGCGGTCTAGACATAGATTTGATAGATAGCACTTGCATGTTTGTCATGAAAAGCGGTGAAATTGAACAAACTTGAACAACTTTCTCTTTCCGGGTCTTCATCCGTGCTTCACATGCCATGTCCAACAATGAGAGGGTTTTCTTCTAGGCAAGCTCGAACATGCCCCTGAGCACCTGCATCTTGCCAGATCTAGCTGCCAACAACAAAAACACGACGACCCGTCTTTTTCATCATCCATGATCTTCACTTGGCACTTTGTCAACTAGATTGATATCTGGGGGTCTGCAGCTTGCTTCTCGTTCGGGAAGTCGACTTTCCTGATTATGGACTTGGCCTCGGTGGTTTTGCGGCGCTCCTTTACAAGGGTTGAGGCGAAATCTCACAGACTAGGAGATAAAGACGTTTTGCGTTGCACGCACCTGCAGCTCTAGTACTATGTAGGGGCCCCCACCCCAGTTAGATCGTCGGATCGTCGCCCTTTAATCTGGCATGGTTTATCCAGCACTCTAGACCGTTCTCTCTGTCCTGATAGCCACTTTTTAATCCTCTCGGTCTCAAAAACAAAGTTGGAAATTCTGGACCTTTACGCACGTCAGTAAGCGAAGACG